CGCCCTGCGACACCCAGAACAAGGATGCCGTGAAGAGGACGCTGGAGCAGATTGATGTCATCCACCGCATGTGCCAGTTGTACCCCGAGACCTTCCTGTGCGTCACCGACAGCACAGGTGGGTGCCGGCGCCCACCAGCCCCGGTCCTGAGCAGGGGCTGCTGCACCACTCTGCGGTTTGTTTCACGTGGAAGCCAGTCCCCACACCCGACACCCAGGCACACGTGTCGCCCGGTGCCCACTGCCCCTGGCTGGGCTCTCCTTGCAGGCATCCGGCAGGCCTTCCGGGAGGGAAAGGTGGCCAGTCTGGTTGGCGTGGAGGGCGGCCACTCCATCGACAGCAGCCTGGGCGTCCTGCGGGCGCTCTACCACCTGGGCATGCGGTACCTGACTCTCACCCACAGCTGCAACACGCCCTGGTGAGCAGCCCCGGGGGGGCCGGCCGGGCGGGGGGGTCTCAGGGCAGGGACCGCCCCGGCACCTGTCTCTCCTCCTGAGGGTCCTGAGGTGGGTGGGCCCGGGCAACCACTCTGCCCCTCGGGCGCCTGCCCTCTGCTCTCCCAGGGCCGACAACTGGCTGGTGGACACGGGAGAGGATGAGGCCCGCAGCCAAGGCCTGTCACTCTTTGGGCAGGTGAGTGGGGGGGCGGGGCCTCGGTCACCCTCAGAAGACCCGGCATGTCACCTGTTTCCTCAACTGTGAGATGGGCCAGCAGGACGGTCCTCCCACTGGAACCCACTGATCATTAGAGTGGCCTCCAGTCTTCCAGCCACTTGAAGGGCTTGTTAACACCTGGCCAGTGCCCTTCCCCACACCTGGACTTCCCAGGCGGCCACCAGAAACCCCAGAAGGTTGTGTGAACCCAAGCGTGCACGGCACAGCCTGCCTGGTCCCAGGGTGCTGGCTGAGACCCTCCAGGCTGTGCGGGTCCCCTGAGCCCCGTCCCCCCTCAGAGTGTCGTGAAGGAGATGAACCGACTGGGCATCATCATCGATTTGGCCCACGCGTCCATGGCCACCATGAAGGCCGTGCTGCAGCTGTCCCAGGCCCCCGTGGTCTTCAGCCACTCCTCGGCCTACAGCGTGTGCCCGCACCGGCGCAACGTGCCCGACGACGTGCTCCAGCTGGTGGTGAGAGGCTGGGCCGGGGCCGTCCGCTCCTGGGCTGGCCCCTGCGGCCTGGCCGCCCTGCCCACGGTGCCCCCCTCTCTCCCGAGCAGAAGCAGACAGGCAGCCTGGTGATGGTGAATTTCTACAGTGACTACGTTTCCTGCAAAGCGGAGGCCAACTTGTCCCAAGTGGCAGGTGGGTGGGGCTGAGCGGCCGGGGCGCCGGGCTGGGGCCTCTCGCAGGGCCCTCAACGTGCCGCCTGTCCGCAGATCACCTGGACCACATCAAGAAGGTGGCGGGGGCCGGAGCCGTGGGCTTGGGTGGGGACTACGATGGTGTGTCCAGGTGAGGCGAGACTCCCCTCCACGTGCTGTGAGGGGCGGGGTGGGGGCGCCCAGGCCCTGCCCCCCAGGATGCAGAGCCTGGCTTTCCCCACCCGCATCTCAGGCTCCCCTCGGGGCTTAAGGACGTGTCCAAGTATCCAGACCTGGCCGCCGAGCTGCTGAGGAGACAGTGGACTGAGGCAGAGGTCAAGGGCGCCCTGGCAGACAACCTGCTGAGGGTCTTCGAGGCGGTGGAGCAGGTGAGGGGTCCTGCATCCCCCGCGCCGCCGACCACCTCCTGCCCTCAGGCAGGCAGCTGACCTGCATCTTTCCCCAGGCGAGCAGTCACACGCAGGCTCCCGGCGAGGCGCCCATCCCATTGGGCCAGCTGGAGGCCTCCTGCAGGACCAGCTACGGCTACTCAGGGGCCCCCAGCCTCCACCTCCAGCCGGGGGCCCTGCTGGCCTCCCTTGCACTCCTCGTCCTCTGCCCGTGTCGCCTCTGACGCCCTGGGTGCTAGAACGTCAGCGACTCCCTGTGCGCTCAGACTGGCCTGTCCTGGGCAGGCACCTGCGCTCCCCTGGGCAGCACAAAACACAGGCACAGCGGGACCCTCAATAAAGTCGCCGATCCTTTGAGTCTCGTGTCATCAGCACCCTGGCCCTGGAGGGGGCTCCTGGCTGGACACCAGACACAGGAGTGCCTGAGTCCTGAAGATCAGGGCCTGAGGGGTCAGGGTCTGAGAGGCTTTGCGTGGACGTTGCTGGAGGGTCTTTAAAATAACACACAGTCCAGGCTCCGGCTACCACCTCCCCACGCACATCTGTACACAGGTGCGTGCACACACACAGGCACGCACACGTGTGCACACCTGCACCCCATATCCTCATAGCGGTGCACACCCATGCTCTCACATATACACACCCACACGCACTCACACACGCTGTGCCCACGGCCCACCCCTTGGGCCAGCCTCTCTTGGCAAACAGGAAAGCAAGGTCCGGAGCAGGGAGGAACCCAGCCCTGCAGGGTGTCCTCACACACCATGAACAAGGACCCTGCAGGGCAGGGCTTTGCCCAAGGGGGGGCTCAGTAGCGTTCCCCCTGCCACCGGTCATCCGGTGCATGTGTCTTGAGATGAATAACTTAGTGGGTGACAGACTCTGGACAAGACCCCCAACACATCCCTGCTGGCCCCTTTCCAGGCCAGAGCTCCTGAGGATGCCCCTCTGTGCCGTTACCCACCGGTGCCTGCCAGCCTGGGCCGTGGGAGCCAGCGAGGGCCTCTGGGCTGGGGCCCTGCCTCTCTCTCCCAGCAGGCACTCTCTCCAGGGATACCTAAAGCCACCAGCAGGGACATTGTGGGTATTTGCTGATCACTTAGGATCAGTTTAACATTAAAGGAGAAGAAAGCAAGTTGAGGGTTTCTGTCCTGAGTTGGCCAAATCCTGCCCAGCACGCCAGCCTGCCATGGCTGGCTGATTTATCAGGGCTGGAGGGCCCTCTGGTGGGCTGCAGGCGGGCACGCCTTATTTTGCTAACTGGGAGGGATTTTCCCATAAGAAACGCTTTAATATTTGTCTGAAATAATCTTAACCACGTTAGAATCACACCAGAGGCCACACCTCAAGTGCCATCCCCAGAATCTGGTTCTGGGGACCCTTCTGCTCACCCCTTATTCACCCTGGGAGACACAGGCCTGCAGGCCTTTCCTGGGTGTCCTGGTAAGGGGCCCCAGGGAGGCGGGTGCCACACCCGGGCCCACCCAGCAGCGTGGAGTCTGCTTAGGAGCCCCTGGAGGGCTGTCTCCCCAGGCAGGGCCCACATCAGCGATTCTCCAACCAGGCAACAAGCAGCCCCAGGCCCTGTTCAAACCCAGACGTGCTCAGAGGGGACAAGGGGGGCCCAGAGTCACAGGTGGTCACTCTGGCAGGCGGGCTGGGCACAAGGCGCATGGACCCCACTGTGGTTCCGACTCTGCAACCCTGGCCACGGATCACACGCCCAAAAAAACTGACCAAGACCATCCAGGCTGCAAAGCACCAGCGTGAAACACAAGCCAAATAATCTAACAGACGCCAGCCACGTTGAAGAGGGCGCGGCTGAGAGCAGAGCCTTCTGACGACACGTCGAGGGGCCCGGCAAGGCCTGCGACAAACCCAGTCCTCTGGTGGGTAAGGGGGTCTCTCAGGGGTGGGGGCAGCCAGCAGTGCCGAAACTAGAACTTTGTGCGGGGAGGAGGGGCTGAGAACCTGAAAACGGGGCTTTTCCCTGCCCAAGGAGTAACCCAGAGGGGGAGGCCTGACAAGTGCAAACTTGTGGTTCCCGTGCCCACGGGGTATGTGTGTGTGTGTGTGTATGTGTCGGTGTGTGTCCGGACGTAGTTTCTGGTGCACACAGTGGGGTGCCCGGACGTAGTTCCCGTGAGCAGAGTGGGGCCCACAGATGTGCTTCGTGTGAGCCGTGGGTTGTGGGGAAGTTGCCCGGACGTAGTTTCTGGTGCACATAGGGTGGTGCAGCAACATGGTTCCGGCGCGCACAGAGGGGGCGCGCTGACGTGGCTCACGTGTCCAGAGAGGGGCGCACCGATGTGGTTTCCGGTGCACACAGCGGGGTGACCAGACGTGGTTCCCATGAGTACAGAGGGGCGCCCGGTGGTAGTTTCTGGGGGCACATAGGGGTGCGCACGGATGTAGTTTCTGGTGCACACAGCGGGGCACAGGGACTTGGTTTCTGGTGCAGACATAGGTTGCCCGGATGCGGTTTCTGGGGCACACGGGGTGGGGGGCGCCTGGACGCAGTTCCCGCAGGCACACCGGTGCAGACCCACTGGCCTCGAGACCGTCCCGGTCACGTGGAGAAACGGGAGGGCCTGTGCCACATTCGGGGCTGGACGGACCACAGGGTAATAACATGAGGGCGGTTTCCTGATTTGGTCGGTTCTACGGTAACTACGTTGACGTGAGGAAAGCCCCTACACAGAAGCATACAGACATTGTGTACTTGGTTTGCAGCTGTTACGTAAGTTTACAAGTATTTCAAAGTAAAATCGTAGAGGAACTGTGGACCTGATTCGGCCTCACCAAGCAGGGCCTGGGAATCCCACTCCTCACAGCACCCCACCTGCCCTCCTTCAGGAACCCGGCAGCCTCCTACTGGCGGGCTGGACCGCAAGCCGACCGTCCCCTTAAGGCCCCCACCCCACCCCAGGTCACTAAAGCAAAGATGGAGACAGTTCTCAGGCATCAATCTCTTTATTCACAACAGCATTTCAGCAAAAGGCAGACTTCGCCTGCTGCCCTTTGATGCAGTGTGGCCTCTGCCCCCAGAGGGCGTCTCCGTGGAGCTCTGCACCCCCTGGGGACCTTCTCTGAACCCCCGGCACGTGGGAGCCCCAAGGGGTGATGGCCAGGGAGTAAGGCGAGGTCGGCATCACAGAAGAAAAACCAGGTGGCTCTTGAACCCTTTTCTCTCCGGCCTCACACCACAGTCCAGAGCGCCAGGCAGCCCACAGCACAACTTACTGTACAGAGCACTCGAGGGCTCCAAGTCCAGGAAGAATCAAACGCAGAGAGCCAGGGAAAGCTCTCCCACGTTTCTGTCCATGAGAGCCAGTGCTGTGAGGACAGACGGCCAGCCAGAGGCCTCTGGTCAGCACCGACAAGCAGTGCTCTCCAGCTGACGCTGGAGAGGGGCTCATACCAAATGCTCCCGATCTACTTGCTCCTTCTTTTTGGCAAAAAAAAAAAAATCCCTGGAAGCTTCAGGAAATCGAAGTAAACTTCAGTAATTGGAGAAAACAGAAAAGCGCAGCCTGTCTGAAGCCCCCCTCAGGCCAGCCCAGCACGGCGTCAGAAGCACTGCCACTGCTGGCCCCACTGAGGGCAGCTCTCCCATCAGCCACTCCAGCTTCAAGGTCAACAGCGTGAGCCCACAAGGCAGCGAGAGCCAGATGGGGGAGGCACCCCATCATTTATAGTGACAGGAGAAAAGCATCCCACCCAGGATGGGGAGGCACCTGCTCCTTGGCTGGGAGGGGCCTCAGCGTAGACTCTGGCTTCCTAGAGGAGACCCCGCAGGGCCCGAGCCCTCCAGAGGCGCAGGGGAGAGAGGATGCAGACCCCCGGGGGGCCGCTGGACTGGGAGCTAGGCACCTTACACTGGGGAGCCCGAGCGGGGCCCATCCAGCTGGCAGGACCAGGTTCTAAATGGAGTGGGGGGCCTCCAGGGGTCCCTAGCAACAGCCTGCAGCCCTGACCCCCACTGGCTGACCACTCCCAGTGCATCTGCCATCACATGGAGTCTGAAAGCCCCCATATCGACGTGGCAGCCACCAGCCAGTCCCTGGGGGTTTCTCAGGGGTGGTGGACGGAGGGGAGCCTGCAGATCGCCCAGCTGGTGGCCCGGAGTCACAGAAATTACCCACAGAAGTCAGAAGTTTGTGCAAACTCGCCCAGCCGGACACAGACCCACACCCGTGCTCAGAGAAGAGGCAGAGTCCCAGGCCTGGCAGGTGAGAGGGGGACAGCAGTGGGGAGGGGGCAGAGGCGGCCTTCCCAGCCCTTCCCCTATGAGGCTGGGATGGAGCGTGTGCTGCCGCTGGGCTCCGCTAATTCCTCAGGGCGGCCAACCTGCAAACGACAACAGGATTTCCTGAGGCCCCGGCAATGGCTCCACCCTGGCTTTCCCAGGCCCTTTTCCAGGCCGGTGTAGTCCTGTCCCCCCTCTTCTAGGGGGAGCTATAGGCGGTGAGCAGAGTCTGAACGAGGGGCGGGGACTGAGCTGCTCCTGGGCCTGCAGGCACCGAGGCCGGGGTTTCTGCGTCCCTCCCAAGCTCCCGCCCAGCACGATGCCCGCCCAGCACAGGTGCCCCTGGCCCACCTCCGAGACAGCTGGTCCTCCTGGCTGCGCACGGAGCTCTCGCCCACGGCAGAGGCGCCCTCGGGCAGCTGGCTGAGCTGGTCCAGGACCTCTAGGCCATTCTCCTCGGCAATCTGCATGATGAGGCTGTCCACCTGCTCCTGTGGTGTGGTCAGTGTGGTGGCCGAGCTCATGGAGTCCTCCATCACCTGGGGGTCGTGTGCCGGGCGGTCAGGGCTTCCTGTGGCTCCCTCCCCTCGCTAGCCCCCTTGTGGCGCTCTTTCCAGCACACTCCCTCTGGCGTGCTGGTCCTGGGGCACAGCTGCCTGCACGGGCACCCACCCCCGGCCCCAGGCCCCCCTCTCCCCTGCTGGACCTCTGCGGGCCGGTCTGGACTCCCCACGAGGAGCCAGGCTCCTGGAAGGGGAAGGGGCCACAAGCCTGGCCGTCACCCACACACCCGGGCCCTGGGCCAACGTACCGACGTGTGCACGTCCAGGTTCTGCACCTGCTGCTCAAATCTGTCCATCACCGCAGAGACCTTCTGCAGGTCCATGGTGCTGAGGGCCCGGTCCAGGGCTTTGGTCACCTGCGCCATGTTCTTGGTCACCTGGCAGAGGCGAGAGTGAGGAGGCAGGCAGGGCCCTCAGGGCCCCCGCACCCCCGCCCCCGGCATGGCACATCCCCAGATGGCGCCGTCAACAGAAGGACGGACACTGGAGAGAGCCTTCGGGGTGCGTCTTCCACTCTAGCACTGCCCTTACTGTAGGGAGGGAATGCCGGCCTGACCGCTTGCGCCAGGCCACCCCCTCAACTCTGCCAGCAGGAGCCGGCCCCGGGCACGTGGCGCCCGGCCTAGCACTCACCCCCTTCATGGTCACGGCCGTCTGCACCTTGGAGGCCACGGCATCCACGCGGGACGCCATGCGGAGCCAGTTCACACCTTCGTTCTTCTTGCGAATGGCGTTCTCGGCGTACACCCGTGCACACTCCACATTCTTCTGCTGAAGGGCCTGAAGTGCAGGGGGAAATGCCAGCTGGAGCCCGGCCCCAGCCAGTCCTGGGGCGCCGTCTGCTGCTGTGGGGCAGCCCCTTCTCAGCCTCTCCGCAGGGTTTCTCATCAGAAATGTCTCGGGAGCGAGGGTGTCCAGGGGCAGGGCCCCCAGCCAGCCCTCGGAGAAAATCAAGACAAGAAAGCCGGGCTCAGGAAAATACGGCCACCTTTCCAGGCCCCTCCACTCCCACCGACACACTCAGCTCCCCTCACACAACACAGCTCCGCCTGGAAGCAGCAGCGCTTGAAAAGCCAGCGCAGGCAATGCTGATTCCAAAGGAATCACGACGATGACGGTGACGTGGCTTCGGACTGGGTAGTCGGCTGCGTTTCCCTTCTGCCCTGGGAGCCTCAGTCTGGCTGAGGAGTCATCCAAACCCAGCACCCCAGGAGCTACTCTAGCCGCTAACCAGCCGTAAGAAAGCCCCCCACGGAGAGCACAGCGCCCGCAGGAGCCTCCAGCCCCGCCGCGCCCGCAGGGGAGTGCGGCTTCTGCGCAGGCCCGCGGAGCTCAGCGCCCGCAGGGGAGTGCGGCTTCTGCGCAGGCCCGCGGAGCTCAGCGCCCGCAGGGGGGAGGCCCGGCTTCTGTGCAGGCCCGCGGAGCACAGCGCCTGCAGGCGGGAGGCCCGGCCGGGGCTGCGCGCGCTCACCTTCTTGACCTTGGCCTGCTCCGCCGTGGAGTCCTTCCCCGCCTTCCTGGCCAGCTTCTCCAGCTGCTTTGCAGTGAGCTGACGGACAGGAGGCCGGGTCACCACGCGGCCTGCCCGCACCCCGCTGCCCGCCCTCCTGGGCCGTAAGTTCGTTCCAAGAGTGGACGTCACTGATCCCTCACGACTGCTGCCTCTGCTGGACAGTCTGCTGCCCACTAGGACGCCGGTGCCCGCCCGTGCGCTTGTGCCCCCTCTACACAGCCCAGCTCCCGGCGGCCGCAGCCCCTCCCTCCGCCAGCCCGAAGCACGGCGCGCCGGCTCCTCGCTCCACGGGTCAGCAGCTGGGGGCACACTGAGAAACTGCCCACAGGCCTTGGCCAGCGTCACACACATGCTGCCACCGTAAACCCCTCCCTCCTTGACCACCTCGGTGTCCAGGCCTCAGGCCAACGTCTCCCCTGCTCCCGTGGTCCAGCCTCTGTGCAGATCAACGCTTCCCTAACCTCAGGCTCACGGGCACAGGGCGCTCTCTCCAAAGTCATCCCTGATTCCCGGTCATCAGACACAATTCTGAGGGGCCTTTAAATCAATGTCTGCAGCACCTGACTCTCTGACCATGTTTTCTTCCTGCACCGTCCAGTGCGGTAGCTACCAGACACACGTAGCTACTTAAGTTACCTAAAATTAAGTTAAAGTAAAAAATCAGTCCCGCAAGCCACATCCCAGGCGCCTGATGGGGCCGGTGTCAGGCGTCGCCATGTAGCCCGGCTCTGCGCCCAGAGCCCCACTCCTGCCCCACCCACACGGGGCCGCTCACGTCAGAGGCTCCGTGGCCTCTGCTCTGTCCTCTGCCTTCTGCATCCAGGCTTGCCCAGCCCCCCGCCCACTGCCCTCCACACACAGCCTGAAGAACACAGCGGGCCACCATCCGCCACCTCTGAACAAAGTCCACCACTCTGGCCAGGTGCCCTGGGACCCGCTGGTCAGCTGCAGCAGGGACCGCCTGGCATGACCTCGCACACCCCAGCCCTGGTCAGTGGCCCTCCACAGGCCTCAGCTGACCAGAAGCTGGCAGGGAGAAGACCCAGATGACCCAAGGGAACAGCAGCCTCCCAGAGGCCAGTTTCCTAACTCTGGTCCTGTCAGCACTGTTCTCTTGGCCAGCGTCACTCACCCACCTGGGAGGGTCCCCAGCCCTCGGGCCCCTCCCACAGCCCTGGGTGCCCCCATGCTCTTGGGACATTTCGCTGTGGAAAAAAGCTTTCTTGTCTGTCCACCCCGACCAGCTACGTTCCTCGGGGAAAAGTCCAGATTTTCCTGACCTGGGAATCTGGCCTGGAGGCCCCACAGCAGAGACAGTGCAGCTGCTACAGTCGGGGGCCGATGCCCGTCACTCCTCCCGTCCTTCAGAACCCACCATGGATGGGCACCTAGGAGGGCCCTACAGGAACTGGGGCAGGAGCTTGCCGACACCACCCCAGGCAGGGGGACTGCTCAGCTGCCCAGAATGCTCTCCTGCACGTGTTTCTGAAGGACTCGAGGCAACCGTTTTAAACGCCTCGTGGAACATTAAGGGACGCACACACACGCGTGCTCATGAATGAGGCCAAATGATCTGCTTCCGCTCAGCCTGAGACAAGCTAGCACACCACCTCCCTGACCCCTCAGTCATCAGTCTGGCTGAGCATGATCCTGAGTGTGACTCACACCATCTGTCCCCACTGACAAGCAGCAGGCAAGGGTGGGGTGAAGGGCCACGCAGTACATACCTTCAGCTGGAACAGGGTATCTGCAAAGAGAGGACATGGTTTGAGGATTGTAAGAAATGTGAGAAGCAATGCTCCAAACCAGCTGGTGGGGCACTAAGACCCTCCTGGACGTGAAGAGCTGGAACAGAACTGGGGCCTTCAGTGAGGCCTACTCACACCAGCTCTGCCCCTCCTTAGCCTCCCTGACTCTCCAATTCAGGAAAACACCAGGATGGCGCCAGCTGACCTTAAGGGTTAGCGTGCGGGGGAATGTCATGGGTGCAGCGTGTGGCCCAAGGTGAAAACTCGAGATGGTTTGTAATCAGTGCAGCTTTACAAAGGACCCTTGGGAGTCCTCCCCAATTTAATAAGGTTTAGTACTTGACAGTCTATTCTTTATGGATAAAAACAGCAGGGCGATGACTCGTACACCATAAAAGAGCTGGCCCACAGAGACCGCTCTCCATGGGAGCTGCTATTTCTGAGCCATCGAATCAGGCTCAGGTCCCCCCCTACCCTCAGTGAGGAACTGGAGACCTGTGTGTGTTACTGGCTAAGTCCCTCGGTATCTGAACTTGGTGCTCACTTGCCCAAACTCAAGAGCTCGATAGATTCAGCTTCATCTTAAAACTATCTCAGTGTATATCCCATTCCTAAATTTGCGGAATGATTTCTGAAAGGGTGTACCACACTAGCCCGGAATGAAGAAACGAAATCCTGCAACCGGAATCCAGAACCACAAAGGTATGTGAAGGCTCCCAGCTGAGAGCCTAGTGGAGCTCTGTGCAGCTCTCACCTGTCACTGAGGGCCCTAGTCAAGGCCAGAGCTGTCTGCATCTCTGGAGAAACAGGTGGCAGGCAGTGTGCTCACTGCAGGGAAAGCAAGGCTGGGCTGGGTGTGGCCCAGACTTGAGTGGGAAGGACAGACTCTGAAGGGCAAAACCTAACCCTGGAGAAAAGGGATACGGGAAAAACAGAATTCCCTGGAGAGCTGAAGCCGAGTGAGCTGTGAGGCAAAACCCAATGTGAGCGCGCGCGTGGGGTGAGGGTATAGCTGTTCATCTTCTCTCTGAGGCAATCTGCATAGGATTTCTTTCATGACAATAACATTGCACAGCCTCTCTACCACACTAGCACTTAAACATCTTGGCAAATGTCGGTATCTTCATTTTATCACTGATGCTTCCTGTTCTGGAGGACAGCAGGGCAGAGGGCCCTGAGGGGGTGCTGCAGGCAGTGGAGGACAGGCCTCCTGGGGCCTGTGCCTGCACGGACTCCTCAACCTGTTTTCCCATCTGCAGAATGGGCGCATACGGTTCCTATCTCAAGAGCTGCTGTGCCTGTACATAGTGAGGGCTTTCTGCCAGAACTCTTCTTAATTCTCTTAGCGGTGTTCTGGGGGCAGTGGTGCAACTGTCTCCTTTTCGGGTGCCCTCTGACCCGGCATCCCAGGGCCCCCAAAGGCCGATGTCCCTCACCAGTACCGCAGCTTGGTGGGGCAGGGGCAGACGGTGGCTGAGGAGAGCCGGAGAAGGGGGTCGGGGATCAGGGAAGGGGATGGGAGTCCTGGGTCGAGGCCCCGGGGTCGAGGTCGGGGTCCTGAGTCCCGGGGTATGGTGTCGGGGATCGAGGTCCCGGGTGGAGGCCCCGGGATCCGGTACCGGGGATCGGGGCCCAGGGTCCGGGATCGAGGCCAGGGGCACCCGCCTGAGCCCCGCCCACGGGAGAGGCGGCCCCGCCCCGCGCGGTCCCGGAGGGCGGCGGCCTCTCACCGTCCATGGCCGGTCCGGCAGCGGCAGCCCTGGCAGAAGCGGACGGACTGGATCTCGCGGCGGCGTCAACCGAACCGACCGGCGCGGGCTGGCGGGCTGGAGGACTGGAGGGCAGGTACTGCCGGATCGCCGCCGCTTCCGGCGGCCGGGAGCTCTCGCGAGAGGACGGATTGGTCTCGCGGGGGGTGGCGTTGCCGTGGCGACCGCGCGGGCCTGGGAGGCGGCGGCCGGGCCTTTTGTGAGTCAGTGGGCTGGGCTCCCACTGAGGTGCAGGGTCCGGGGCTGCGTCGCGGGGCAGTCACCTATGGGACTTTCCAAAAGCAAACACAAACTCCGGAAAGGTAAAGGGCCGCCGCCCCGCAGTCTCCCCGGCGCGGCCCCGCCCCCACAAATCCTCCTGCGCCGGGTCCTCTCTGGTGATCTTGCCTCGGGGACCTTTTCATCCGGGGAATATCCACGTGTCGAGAA